CCGCCGCCACCACCGCCGCCGCGGGAGGCTTCCCCAGGGCCCTGGGGCTGCACAGCCAGCGGGGGCTGGAGGAAGGGGGCGGAGGCCCCCGGAAAGGGGCCAGGCCTCTGGGGAAGATGCGGCGGGAAAGCCGGGGAGGGCAGCGGCGGTGGTGGACAGCCAAAGGGAGCGGGAGGCAGCGGCTGCGGGGGCGGCGGGCCCGGGCGACCCGGGGCGAAGAAGGGCGGCAGAGCCATGGCCACCACTGGATTCTGAGAAGTGACAGGAATATGAGAGGTCTTTCGAGAAAGTATCTTCCGGGAGGAAGTGAGGTATCTACGCGCGACGCCAGTGCGACGCGCCGGCCCAGAGCGCCCGGCGCGTGGGTGGAAGTTCGTCCAATCCCTCAGTTAACACCGCTGTTATTGAGCCTTCTGGGTGTGGAGCCTGCTGCTTTACTGTGGGACTAGCGGATAGTTCCTCTCCTATGGAATTACCTGTCTAGTAAACACCTTAATCAAGTAATTATGCAAACAAATGTAAAAGTGCAGCGGCGAGTATAAGTACTACCAAAGAGGAAAACACGGAGCAAGAAGAGTTTATAGGAGAATTTGATTTAGAGAGGTTGGGGAAGGTTGTCCTAACGATTTTAGGCGTCATCTGAGGTTCTGTAGCAAAACTGTAGCACAATATCCCAGCCAGGATGTTGACATTGATACAATGACGATACAGAACATTTCTTTCCATCATTTCCAGGATCCCTCATTTGCCCTTCTATGCCCACACCCACGTCCCATCTTTAACCGCCTGCAACCTCTACCCCGCACTCCACTTCTGTAACTTCCGTCCTTTCAAGAATGTTTTATAAATGTAACATATAGTACATAACCTTTTGGGACTCCCTGTTTCCACTCAGTATAATCCTCTGGAGAGTTATCCAGGTGATTGTATTAATAGCGTTTCTTTTTATTGCAATAAAGTGTGCCCCCAAAAAAGTGTAGGTAAAGTTAAACCATTTTGTTTAATCATTCATTTGTTAAAGGATATTTCCACTTTGGAGCTAGCACGAATAATGCTGCTATAAACGTTTACAGGTTTTTCTGTGAACATAAGCCTTCATTTCTCTGGAATAAATGCCGAAAGTGCAAGTGCTGGGCCATATGGAAGTTGTATGTTTCGTTTTTGAAGAAACTGCCAAATTGTTTTCCAAAGAGGCAGTACTGGTTTACATTACCACTAGCAATACGAGCGATCCAGTTTCTGTGCATTCTCGCATTTTGCAATGTTACTATTTTTTTAGACACCCTGTTAGGTATGTAGTGATATCTCACCTTGGTTTTAATGTGCACTTTCTTAATGACTAATTATACTGAATATCTTTTCATATGCTTATTTGCCATCTGTATATCCTCTTCGGTGAAATGTCTGAGTATGTCTTTTGCCCATTTTTCCAGTTATGTAGATTGTTTTTTTTACTGTTGAGATTTGAGAGTTCTTTATATATATTCTAGATACTAGCCCTTTATCTAAATACATGGTTTGCAAATATTTTCTCTCACATTATAGCTTGTCTTTTCATCCTTTTAATAGGGTTTTTTTTGTATGTGTATGTGGAGCAAAAGTTCTTAATTTTGATGAAGTGCAACTTACCAGTTTTTCCCCTTATGGATCATGCTTTCAGAGTCAAATTTAAGAACTCTTTACTTAGCCCTGGATCCTTAAATTCTTCTCCTGTGCTTTTTCTAAAAGTTTTATAGGTTTACATTTAAGTCTGTGATCCATTTTGAGTTAATTTTTGTATAAGGTGTGAAACTTAGGTCAATGTTCTTCCCCCACCCCACTTTGGATGCCCAATTGCTCTAGCATCACAAGATTAGATTTTTACTTTTTGAAGCAAAAGTAATGGATGCCCTCTTGGGTAAGAGCCCAGCTCTATAACATGAAAAGAACCAAGCAGAGCCTGACCCCACTTCCCAAGGGACCTCTCCTATTTCTCAGAAACTCTTTGTAATACTCTACATAATATTTACTTGTATCTTTTATATTAAGTAATTTGTAATACTCTGCATAACATTTAAAGGCTTATCTTAAAATTAGGTAAGGCATGGTTATAGCTTTATATTTTCTAGATGGATACTCAGTGTAAGTGACCAAATATTTATTAAATATTTGAAATACCTAATTTGAAATACCACCATTTCTGATATTGAATTCCTATATATATATTTGGGATCTATTTCTGTGTATTCTTTTCCTTTGGCCTGTTCATTCATACACTTGTTTGTAAAGCTATATATATAAAATTTTTAGTAGAAGAGGCAGCACCTCTTGGTTAAGTGGAGAGGCTCTGGAACCAATATGCCTGGGGTTAAATCCTGTTGTTTACTAGTTGTGTGACCTCGGGTAAGCTACTTAACCACTGGGCTTCAGTTTCATCTATAAGAAGAGCTAATAGCTTCTACCTCATAGAGTTGTTGCACTAAATGAACAGCGACAGAGTAAATACTGAGTGCACATTATCATTTTGTTTACCATTCTTGCCTATTTTTCCATATGAACTTTAGGATCTACTTGTCAATTTTAATGTAAAACCTTATGTGTTTTATTGGAACTTTAACTATATAAATTAATGTAGGGGTAATAGACATCTTTATAATTCTGAGTTTCCCCATTGAAAAACATGGGATACCACTTTTCATGGATTTTCAAAAAAGGTACCCATCTACTCTTCTGCTCCCATTGCTATCACCTTAGTCCAATCCATCATCAGCTGGCAGGCTTATTATAATAGCCTCATGTGTCCCTGACTCAATCCTTGCTCCTCTATCACCTGGTCACTTACACTGAAACCAGAATGGTCTTTCAAAACTTAAGTGAGATTATGTCATTTCTCCGGGCAACACCTTCCAATAACTTCTCATCTCACTTAGAAACAAAGCCTGGAAAGGAATTGGAAACAGCAAGGCCAACTTTTAGTTTACTGTGGGGGGGATGTAAGTTCAAGGGAGTTGTGTGTTGTCTGTTTGCTGATGAGAACTGATCTGAAAAACAGGAGGAAACTAATGAGGTAGGAGATAAAGGGGCAAGTGCTGGAGAAATGTCCATGAGTAAGCCTCTAGCCAGGTTTCCCTCCATTTTCCCCTGAGCCTCCCCTTCCCAACAAACACATCTAATGATGTCCAGCTTTTCTACTTAAAATGCTTTTTTTTTTTTTTTAGGGAGAGGAGAAGGAGAAACATCGATCAGCTGCCTCCCACACACACCTCTACCTGGGATCAAGCCCACACCTGGGCATGTGCCTTGACTGGGAAAAGAACAAGCGACCTTTCGGTACACTGGACGACACTCAACCAACTGAGCCACACTGGCAAGGGCTACTTAAAAACCCTTTTAATGCCCTACTACTTTCTGCATAAAATTACAAGTTAAGCCCAGCCAGCACAGCTCAGTGGTTGAGCATTGACATGAGCCAGGAGGTCATGGTTAGATTCCTGGTCAGGGCACATGCCCGTGTTGTGGGCTCAATCCCCAGCAGGGGGCATGCAGGAGGCAGCCGATCAATGACTCTCATCATTGATGTTTCTCTCCCTCTCCCTTCTTCTATCTGCAATCAATAAAAACATTTTTAAAAAAGATTGATTCAGAATATTTTTTAAAAATCACAAGTTAACCTCGCATACAAGATACTCTATTATTTGTTTTTAAATGTATGGAGCACCAAATATAGGAAGCACTTTGGTAGGTGGTGTTATAGTTAACCAAACAGGCATGGTCTTCACCATGTGTAGTCGGAAAGATAAACAAGTGAAAAACTTGGAAGGTTTGCTATAGAACAGGAAATACTAGGCAGTGTCTAGATGCTGCTGGGAATGATTCTGGAGGAGACAAATAATGTAGTATGGATACTGACAAAAGAAATAAAGGTCTTGAGAAATAAGAGGGGATCACTCCACTCATAATGATGTGGAGTGACTGAATTTCGGTAAGGGATTCTTCAGTTGTAACTGGAGAAAACAGGTTGGGTGCTGAAGCAGATAGATTTATAGATTTGATGACAGGAAGATGACTTCCATCTTCTGATGGTTTCTCAGTGAAATATGAGGCAAAGTCTTCAGTTGAATGGAGAAAGGAGAGAATATGTTAAATAGTCATCTCAGAGCAGTAACTTTTTTTTCCTTTTTATCCTCACCCGAGGATATTTTTTCCATTGCTTCTTCAGAGAGAGGGAGAAGGAGAGAGAGAAACATTGATGTGAGACAGACACATTAATTGGTTGCCTCCCTCACTCATCCAGACCAGGGCCAGGGATCGAGCGAGCCTGCAACCGAGGTACGTGCCCTTGGCTGGAATCCAACCAGGGGCCTTTCAGTCTGCAGGCCAACACTCTCACCACTCAGCAAAACCAGCCAGGGCTCAGAGCAGTAACTTGAAGTCATACTTGTTGCCTACTTCTTAACTCCTAAAGCCCCCTAGTTATTGTTTCAAATTTCTAACATTTCATTATTCCTTTCTGGAAAAGTCCTACTTGCTCTTCCAGATCCATCTGGGCCACCAACCCTACATCACTTCCATTACAATAATGCACTGTTTGTGTTTGCTTCTCCCACTAGACTAGCAAGCTTCTTGAAAAGCTTGGTCCGTGTCCCTAGTGTGGGGCCCATGCAGGATATTTAAGTAAGGATATTCAATAAATGTTTAACATAAACTTTAATAATAGACATTTTGTCTGGAATTTGTGACTAGGAGAATTTATTAGCAGGATATGAAAGTGCCAAGGATTAACCAAACATTAGAATAAAGCAGCTCAAGATATCTGTGTCCTTTTAAAAATGGCACTGCATTATGGACACACCACCACATCAGCATTCATTTAGTCCTTTGTTTTATTCAAATGCCAAAACATAAGTTTCAAGCTACAAATTGTAGTTATACCCATTGAGTTTGATTTAAAAACATCAATTATGTTTTGTTAACAACTTCCAAACCAAATGTAAGCTGTTGTGACTAAAATGTCTCCCAGTCCATTTCTGGAGGATTACCTTTAATATTTTTAATAGCTTCTTCAATTTTCACTCTACAAAAAGGAAAATAATGACATCATAAGAGAAAGATAATGAACAGTTATAATATGAAAGACTTCCTGAGAAAAACTTTAACCATTACTACGGAGACTAAGGAGGATATTTGTTTCTGTCCCACACTAGCAACAAGGCTTAAACACTCTGTAAAAGTGCATTTTTGGTTCTACCCCAGCCATAAATAGGTATCTCACATCTCTTATTACATCATGGAAAGCCCAACTCTTTATCAACAGGATTTAGAATTTCCTAATAGTTTAAGGTTCTCTTCCTAAGAAAAAGGTGGTAAGAGGAAAACTTAAGAGTCTATAAACCAAAAAATAAAAACATTTCAATGTACTTTGATTTAAACAATTTCAAATAAGTTTGATCTGAATAGTATAAAAAATTGCACCAACATTATAGAAGGGAAGAAAAAGCTTAAAAGATACCCAAATACTTTTTTATGCAAATAATTTTCATTTTTAAGTCCCCCAAATTCCCTCCACTGTTTAATTATATGCAGGGTGGGGCAAAAGTAGGTTTACAGTTGTGAGTACATGAACCACAGAGTTTATTCTTGTATTATTACTTATGAATTACTGTATTACTTTCCATATGAACTATAAACCTTTTGACCCACCCTGTAACAAAGATTAATAACTTCTATTTTAGTGTGAAGACATTAACTTATGCTGATAACAAAGCATAGTTTTCTTTAATGTTCTATGAAGTCAAAAAATTAGACAAATATCCAACACACACACACAAAAAAAATAGCTGAGTACTTTCGGTAAATGCACAATATTAGGCTATCTTATTTAGTTCAGCATATGGCTGTTGTTATGACTGACACTACATGCTACTTTTAGAATCAGATGTAGTCTTTTTCTGATGATTTAAGGCAGACTTCAGTTCCATCTGCTCACCCATGGTACTAAAATGCATTAAAGATGGCAAATAAATCAAACAAGTCAGAGGAGAATGGCCTTTCTCATAGTACCAACTGGGAAGTTAGTGTCATGCATGAGCAGGTAAGGCTAAGAATATAGCTAAACAAATCATTAAAATATGGTTCTGCAAGGTATTTTTTTCCATGAAAATTTAACTACTTGTTAAATTTTGGAAACTACCTGTTCCAATATTTAAGATGAATAAAGTTCTAATATTTTCAGGAAACAAATATGGGTAAAAAAGATTAAACTAAAGAATCGTATCTCAATCTTCAATTTTAAAGAATTTATTTTCCTATTTGTAGAGTAACATTATTGTAAAATCCACAGTTATTGCAATACCTGCATTGTTTAAAAGAGCTCCTAAGAATTTTTATGCATATTTTTTTAAAAACTGAACCAAAATAATGTACATTTTATCTCTGAACATTGTGTCATTACAGTTCACATAATGTCCTCTGTACCAATCAATGTGATGTTACCTAATATACATGATCTGATTTTTATCCTAAAGACTTCTGACCATGTATGATATCCAAGATAGATCCAATGCTTTTAATGTCAGACTGAAGAGACAGTTATGATCCTAAACAGAGGAGCAGCTTTATATACAGGACAAAAAGTCTGACAATTTAGCTGTTTGCAGCATCTGCTTGGCGAGGCCATCCTTCTTCTTCAACTCCAGAATCATACTCCTCTTCAGAGGATTCTTTTGTTGGAGCCCTAGAATGAAAAGCCATCAGTTGTTTTTTGTTTTTAATAAAAATGAGGGGTAAACATGATTTCTAGACTCAATAAGTTAATCTACCTTGCTAGAAAAGCCACACAAAAAGAAAATACTAAGAGTATTTTTAATATTTAGATTGCTTAGTGGTAAAATATGGGAAACATTTAGACCACACAACCAAGAGTTATAAGTAATTTCCCTAACAAATGTTTTATTGAAATAAATTGACAAGTCTTGAATTGTGAAGGCTTAAAAAAATTCTATTCCACGCTGGCCAGTGTGGTTCAATTAGTTAGAGTATCGTCCTGTGCACTGATAGGTCTCAGGTTCTATTCCCAGTCAGGGTGCATACGGGAGGCAACCAAACAATGTTTCTCTTGTCGAGCTCTCTCTTCTCTTCCCCTCTCTTTAAAAAATCAATGAATGTGTCCTTGGGTAGGATTAAAAAAAAAAACATTAAAAAATCCCTTTCTCTAGCAAAAGGTTAGAATCTATTATTTCAACTCAAATGCCTGACCTTTTTTTAGCACATGTCTATGGTAAAGAAGATGACAGCTTCTGAGAACCAAATCTGACTTGACTCAAACTAGTCAAAGTTATGATCAGACCACCACAATTCCTTTATATAGTAATGTCATTAAAAAAAAAAAATAAGCCCAGCCAGGCGTGGCTCAGCAGTTGAGCATCGACCTGGGATCCGGGTGATCGCAGTTCAATTCCCGGTCAGGGCACATGCCCGGGTTGCGGGCTCGGTCTCCGGAAGGGGCATGAAGGAGGCAGCCGATCAAGGACTCTCTCATCATTGTTTCTCTCTCTCTCCTCCTCTCGCTTCCTCTCTCTGAAATCAATAAAAACATATTTAAAAATTTTTTTTTGAATAAAAGCTTGTTTTCTGAATAACTAAAGTTGTTCAAATAAACCAACTGCCTCCTAAGTTATCTTAGAAGATAAGCAAACATAAAATATAACATACCTTGTGACAGTTAAAACAGAAACCTAATTTTTGTGTAGGTAACATTAATATCAAGCACTGTATAATATTTATTGACTAGATCAGGCTACAAGGCCCATCATCTGTTTTTATAAATAAAGATTTACTGGCACACAAACATGCTCATTCATTTATAGATTGTCTATGGCTGCTATCATACTATGAGGGCAGTGTGAGTAGCTGTAATACAGACTGTATGGCCCTAAAATATTTAGCCCTTTACAAGAAAGTTTGCTGACCCCTGGGATAGATAAAGCTGTGAAAGATGTATCAAATTTGTCAATTGATATGATACAAATGAGAGAAAAATTATGTCCCCAAAGTTTTGGTCTTGTGAAAGACATAAAACAAGTCATTCACAAGTTAGAGAATTAGTAGTAAAGTTCACTTAAATCTCTTCATTTGGATTACTTTTCTGTCTCTTTTAGTCTTCTTTCTTAGGGGAAAAAGTAGAGGCCAATTTTAAACATCAATATTCACAAGACTCACAAAATATTATATTATAAACCAAAATTAGAACATTTTTGTACAGAAAATTTTATGAGATTATTGCATCCCTTATAAATATAAGGATTTTTATGACAAACCAATAAACTATAGCACTGAAGAGCTGATCTTAAATTTCAGGTCTGTTCTAGCTTGATAGTACACTTTACCGGACGTATCCTGGCTCCTTTTTTCCTTCTACTACTTCTTTGTCAACCTCCACACAAACAATATCAGAATTAGGAACTTCAAACATTGGTTCTAGTAACAGCTTTTCCTAAAGAGACAAAAAGTAATGAATGGCATGGAAAACTGAGGTTATATACAATTCTACAGGCCACAAATTGAAGTAATTAACTCAACCAATATTATGGAGACCTATTATGTACCAGGAACTGAATGTTGCAAAAGTCAATGTAAAAGCTTTTATATTCTTCATATTAAAACAGCGTCTAAATAAATTCAGAAAGAAGTCATTTTATAAGGGAAGGCTATTTGTACTTCTGCCTACTTAGGTCACCATGCACATACAAAAAGACTATACTTTTGGATTCAGATGTTTCTCAAAAGCATTCCTGGTATATTCTATGACCAAGGAGGTCAACTGGTAATCCTTATTTCAAAAATGATTTAATACTAAATCATCTCTACCAGGCTTTTCAATTTTGACTATGACTTCAAATAAGCATGTCCCACAATTGTTTCAGTAGATCCAAAGTTGTTTACAACAGAAAACCACTTTCACCTACAGGTAGGGGCTAGATTATATTCCATCTCAAGGAAAATACTGGTTGAGTACATCAAATTTCTTAAAAAATGTCAATGCTATCACCTACTCTTCTAGTTTGCATGTTTATATAAATCTGTCCTTAATTGGTAGCACCTAAAGTCTAGGCCTTCATTAGAAAGTATAATCTCAAACTGTCCTACTGAGATGAGAGAAGTAATATTTAGCAGTGAAATCCGTAAAAGATAAAAGAGACATGATCTTGTTTTGGGAGCATGTAGGGAAATAGAAACCCACTGTACAGCCAGACTTTGCAGGTAGGGGAAAGAGCTCTAAAGAAGAGAGTGGGCTATGGTTGAAAATAGGCTGGGTCTCTAGAATTCGTTACAAAATAAAAAATAGTGAGTTCATATCATACTGAAATATTTAGGGGTACAGTGTCATGGTACTTGCAAATTAATTTCAAGTAAACAAACAACAAAAATGAGGATCTCAGTAGGTCTGAGAAGGCACTCTGAAGCTTAGCCAAAAGGCCTCTATAGAATTTTCTGAAATTCTTCCTCCCTTGATCCTCATTTTTTTCTATTTCATTTATCATATTATGTGTATCCTTTGTTGCAAATACCTTAAAGTTTCTTTTTAGAAGAAGAAAAACATAATCTATGTGACGCCCCCCAAAAAATCATAAAAACACTTGGCCAATTTTCTGGATATATTTCCAAAGGAAGAACATGGAGGATTAATATTCTCAAAACTCAGATCAAGAAATAATCTAGTTTCTGTAATAATAACACCAGCTTACCATTATGGACCGAAGACCTCGTGCACCTGTTTTTCGTTCCAGTGCCAATCTGGCTATAGCTTTCAAAGCATCCTCAGTAACATTCAGTTCACACTAAAAATAAATTTAAAAGAAATGAGAACTTAGATAATAATTGATGATATATTCCTAATATCACCAACCATACAGCATTTGATCTATTAGTTATTACTACCTACCACCATTACTGGTCTGTTTAGAACAAAAAGGAAACAATGCTCTGACTTTACAGATAAAAAAGTGCCAGAGTGGTAAGTACACTGACTCACTTAGAAATATAGAGCCAGAAACTTTATGTTTTGACTGACCCTATCTGTCCCCCTTCAGAATAACGCATTTTTAGACTCTCAATTTCTTACTAAAAAACATACATTTTAAAGAGTGTTATTAAATGTTAGACAAGCTTCTCTAAATTACCACACATTTCAAAATACAGTTCAAATTATTGAGAATACAGGGGGAAAAGTCAAAGTACTTTGGAACATCAGATTTCACAAAATCTTAGTATTAAACAACTTTGGTTATTAATTTCAGCCTCCAGAAAATATAAAATTTAAGTGAGGTATTTGTCTCTTGTGGTTTTTTAGAACCTTGCCTTCAAGAAGCACCACTTGCCCTGGCTGGTGTGGCTCAATTGGTTGGAGCACCATCCCATATACCAGAGGGTGGTGAGTTCAATTCCCTGTTAGGGCACATGCCCAGGTTTTGGTTTTGATCCTCAGTCTGGACACATGTGGGAGAAACAACCCATTGATGTCTCTCGATGTCTGTCTATCTCTATGTCTGTCCCCCTATCTCCTCCTCCCCTCTCCCCTCTAAGATTAAAAAAAAAAAAAAAGCATCACTTGTTTCTGTCAATTAACCTATAAGAAGGTATCAGTTTTATGCATAACAAATTTGTCCTTAATCCTTCAAAAGGTTTTTTCCTAGATTAACATGGACTTTCTAGGACTTCATTTAACAATTATTGAACCCCTAAGTGCTTATATTTTAGAGACTGAATGATGACTCAGACACCCTCTTTGCCCTCAAGAAACTTAGTCTACTAGGAGGTGACAAATTAGCAAACTACCATTTACAGCATAGTGTATGCACATTGTGCTAAGGGAGCACCAAAGTGGGGGCATCTAAATAAGACCAGGGGACCACTGAAAGATTTTAAGGAGGGGAGTAAGATAATTACCTTGTGTTTATTCATTCAATAAATATTTATTAAGAACTTAATATCTGTTTGCTGGGCACTATGCTTAATCATTTAAAAGCGATCCACTCTGGAAGTAAAGCGGAAGATAATGATGGTGGTGATGGTCATAGACAGATTTGAGACGGGGAGATCGACTAATTAGGAACCAAATGCAAGGGTCAAGGTGAAGAGTGATAAAGGAGCTTGAGTTAAGGTAGTGGCAATGGCAATGGAGAATAGGAGACTAATATTTAGAGATACCAAGTTCATAAAACCCAAAACATTTGCTATCAGATTGTGTGGGCTTGAGTGACCTCCAGGTTCCCGGTGTGCAGAAGTGTACGTAGGAGCTAATAAAACTTTATAGAAAAAACTACATAAAAATATGTAGTTTTTTAAGAAAGTACGCTGACACACGCCCTAGCCGGTTTGCTCAGTGGTTAAAGCATCAGCCCATGGACTAAAGGGTCCTGGGTTCGATTCTGGCCAAGGGCACATACCTCATACTTTGGTTGCAGGTTCAATCCCCGGCCTCAGTCGAGGCGCATGCAGGAGGCAACCAATCGATATGTCTATCTCACATCGATGTTTCCCTCTCTCTCTCTCTCCCCACCCTCCACTCTGAAAAGCAATGGAAAAAATATCCTCAGGTGAGGATTTTAAAAAAAAGAAAGAAAAGTATACACAGTATATCACAATAAAAGCATTTAGAATACCAAGGCTGAAAGGGCAATCCTGTGTGTCTGGCTTGAGTTGAGTAGGATGCTGGAATAATTTTTCTCTCTTTATATATCTTTGGACTTGAAGCTACAATGAAGATTTTAATTAAGAAAAAATAAAGCCAACTCCTAAATGTCTAATGTAACAAAATGTACGTTCCCTGATTCCTAGATCCACAGTTAGTGAGGAACAGGTTGGTATTCGATGAACAGGATTGCTTTTAAATTTCTTATGCTAATTTATGCAGTTTCAATAGCAAAAACCCATAAATTAAGTATGAAAAATAAAAATCTAACCTTATCCATGCTGAATAAGGCCTGGTACTGAGGAATAACAGCATTACGTGGCTCAGTTAGTATTTGTACAAGTGTTTTTTCATCTAGACTATGCAAAGGAACTACCACAGGCAACCGTCCCACGAACTCAGGAATCATGCCAAATTCAATGAGATCTCTGGCTTCTACATGACGTAATAATCGATCCTTTTCTTCAATGTCTTGGTGAGTATTTGATTCGCCACTTCGATTGGCAAGGTCTGCAGCAGCTGCAGCCCGTCTGCCTTTTCCCAGATTAGATGGTGTTCCAAATCCAAGATACTGCCAAGGAACAAATGGATGTTATAAAGAGCACAATGAAGTTGCATTGTATGAAGTACTTTGCATGCACATGTCATGTGATCTTTGCAACAGAAGAAAGTTCTATTATCATTCACATTTTACAAATGAAGCAAATTTACCTAGAAAGGTTAAATATGCTGACCAAGCTCTTGTTGCTCTAAGTGGTAAAGGCAGGATTCAAACTCGGGTCTAACTGCCTCCAGAACTGAGAACCTAACCACTACAGAATAACCAACTCATAAAGTATGATTTATAGTACAAGTAGATGAGTAAACACTCTGAAAGGAAGTCTCTTAGAACTCAGAGAGAGATGTTGCAGGGTTTGTCTGAGACCACTGAACTAGTGTGGTTTCCAAAATGGGTAAGAACTGAAAATAGAGACAGCAATTACTATGTAACCAAAGTTAATTTTGTAATACTGTAAAAAGGAGTAGTGCCTATGGGACAAGCAGCCTGTTAAAGAAATTATCCACAAGTGTCGTAAGTCACTGCTAAGCATTCCATTAAAATCATGATTTGGGCCCTGGCAGGCGTGGCTCAGTGGTTAGAGTGTCGGCCCAAGCAAAGAAGGGTCTTGATTCCCAGTCAGGGCTCGTGTGGGAGGCAACCAATCTGTGTCTCTCTCACATCGATGTTTCTCTCTCCCTTTCTCTTTCTCCACCTCTCTCTCCCTACCTCCCTTCCACTCTCTCTGAAAAGCAATGGAAAAAATATATATCCTTGGGTAAGGATTAACAACAACAACAAAATCATGATTTGGGGTTGCATACCTCAATTTATAAATTATAATAATTTAACATTAGATTTTATATAAGGATGACATCAAACAAGAACGCTAACTTTGCTGCAAAAGGTTGGATATCTAAGGCATATAGATCTTGCTTTAGTCAATATAAAAGAACTATATTCTACATAATTATCAGAAAGTTTAATTTTGATATGTCATATAGCTTTTGTCAAAAGTATAAACACATGATGTATGAGAAAATAGCCTAAGTTAAAAATCAGTTCCTCTGATTCTCTAAGCTGTGTACATGGACAGTTACTGTATAGGAAAGCAAAATGCCTTTCATGCAATAATTTAAACACTGATTAAGCATATATATTATATAAGCATATACAGTAATAAATATATACATATTTATTATGTAAATATAAACATTAAGCATTACTATAAAACACTGGGGATATAAACCTGAACACAATCCTTACTCTAAAAGGGCTTATTGAGAGTGAGAACGCATGAAGGTATTAAAGTATCATAGATGCAGTAAAGGACAACTGTACAGGAAACGATGGCAGTGGAAAGGAGGAAAAGGGGCATATATAGAGTGAGGGTAGGAGGTGATCAAGAAAGCCTTCACAGAAGAATTGCCTAATCACTTAACAGACTTAGTCTTAAAGTATGAACACATATTTGCCAAGTAGACTGAAGTAGTGGAGGGCATGAATGAGCCAGAGAAATAAAACTTAGGACTACAAGCACTTTGATATGGTTAGGATACAGGTATATTATTTGATATTGTACCCCTGGCTTTCAACAAGGGTTGATAAAACAAAAGCCACATGGATGTGTTTAATCCTCTATAAAATCACTGCTGAAGACTCTTATGAAAACGCCTTTTCATAAAGATCTATGGTGACAAACTCTTTGTCTCTCCTGAAGACCTCATATGACCTAAATCTTCCTTCTATATGTTTCTATTCTCTTTTCTCACATGACTTTTAACTGTTCTTTTCTACATGTTTCTAGCTTCAAATTCTTTTTTGGAATTATTAATTATAAATAAATATCAGAATATGGTCTCTGCCTTTGGTTACAGAATTTCAATATAAAGCTTTCTTTCTCTTTCTCTCTCTCTCACACACACATACAGAAATAATTTTTCTAATTTGTTAGGCTAGTTTATGCAGAAATTCAAATGAAAAAAAAATTAAAAATATAAAAAATATAACACTATCCATGCTGAGTAAGGCATGGTACTGAGGAATAAGAGCATTACATGGTTCTGTTAGTATTTGTACAAAAGTTTTCTCATCTACACTATGCAAAGGAATTACCACAGGCAACTGTCCCATTAGCAGCACTGTATTTTTACTACTACTAAACTGCTACTGAAACTAGTGCATGCAAAGCCAAGGAGAGAGACTAAAGCAAGTGATACAGCAAAGAGTTGATCTATGACATATTCATTTAGGTAGACTATTATGTTATGTAAAACTCAAAAACATGGAAAATACAGGTATTTTACGCTTCTATGTTGATATTATATTTTATTATAATCAATCAACAAATAGGTACTGGGCATGTATCTTGTAGATACAAAGAAATAAGTTCCAGTTAAAATCAAGGTTAATAAGAATGTTCAAGAAATATCTATAAAACTATGTGGGATTCACAACCCTGGCTCCAACCCCCAAACTGCTCCCTTCCATTTGTCAGTAGGGGCAATGGGGACAAGCTCTTCATTGGGCTTCAATGAAATGAGCAAGAGGAATGAACAGAAATTTTACTGATACAGCACCTACCTCAAATAATAAAATAACTTTAAATGATATATCAAATTAAAATAATCAAGTTATACTTTAAAAATGCCCATATAGCCCAGCTGGGCGTGGCTCAGGGGTTGAGCGTCGACCTAGGATCCAGGTGATCGGGGTTTGATTCCTGGTCAGGGCACATGCCTGGGTTGTGGACTCGATCAATGACTCTCTCATCATTGATGTTTCTCTCTCTCTCTCTCCCTCTCCTTTCCCCTCTCTGAAATCAATAAAGATATATTTAAAAAAAAACAACAAAAAACAACATGCCCATATAGCCCTAGCCGATTTGGTTCAGTGGTTAAGAGCGTCGGCCCATGGACTGAAGGGTCTCAGGTTCAATTCCAGCCAAGGGCACGTACCTGGGTTGCAGGCTCCATCCCCAGACCCAGTCAGGGTGCGTGCGGCAGGCAAATAATAGGTGTGTCTCTCTAGACACATTGATGTTTTTTTTCTCTCTCTCCCCCCCCCTTCTACTCTCTCTGAAAAGCAATGGAAAAACTATCCTCAGGTGAGAATTAAAAAAAAAAAAGCCCATATATGTGTATACACACACACACACGGTGTCCCCCAAAAAATGTATACACACTTTAACAACTGATAACTCACTTAGTTTTCACTCCTTTCAGGTTTAACCAATCTATAATAATGGGTAAAGCCAGACCAAGCTTTGAACAAAGAAAATTTTTCCTAAAGTGCCACTAGACTTTTTTAAGGGGATATATAAAAGATAAAGTTTATGGTACAAAACTGGCAACAGTCAATGAAATGAGGGTGCACAAATATCGAACTAAATGATTCTTGATGTTTGCAATTCCATTGCTTCACATTATTAGCAGTGCCTGGACCAAAACAGTCATTTTTGAAAATAGGCATTGACCAAAAAAATAATTATTCATTTCTGTAGATTCTTTTAAATTCTGAAAATGAACTGTATGGTAATAAACACCGACTTTATAATCATTCAAAGTGTGTATACATTTTGGGGGGCACCTTGTATATAGATGATATTTAGAAATCTTCTAATTTACTAGTCTAAAATAAAAAATTTAAAACTAGAAATATATTTCTGGTACGCTCTAAGAAAACCTAATTCTTAAAAATTCTCAACTGGCATCCAGCAGATACAAGAATAGAAAATGAGTGTCCATCCTCTGTACCTTCAAATACTCTCTGTCCCAGTAACCCCTCAGAAAAACTTACCTTTTCATTTTTCCTCCTGCTGATGATTCTGTCTAAACCATTGAAAGCACCAGATGCAACAAACAGGATGTTTGTTGTATCAACTTGCACTGTTTCTCCACGTAGTTTGCGGGAATTCTTTTCTGGAACATTGACTATTGTGCCTTCTAGTAGTTTTAATAAGCCCTAAATAAAGAATGAATGATTTATAGCATCATCATATAAGTGAATTATTTACTATACTTTAGATAATGGAATTCAATGGGGAAAATAATATGTGGTTATGGTAAATGAGCATAACTGAAGAAAACTCCCATATTTCTACAACTAACATGAAAATCTAATGCATTATCACATTAATAATTCATAAATTTATTTGGAATAGTTACAGGACTACTGATGCATTCAAGAAACAATCAACCAAGAAGATTGTTTTTGATGATAAAGACACAATTCTGACATCAAGATAGAATTATGACTCTATCAGATGGTGTCCAACCATTGTGGGAACATTAAAAATTTGAAAAAAGTTAAAGATTTGTCTTTCATATAAATATTTTATTCTACTCCTAGTATTAGACTAAAAAATATCTATATTTTGAGATGCCTTTATAAAAAAATTATGAAGCACATTTTCTAACTGTGATTATACCTCTCTCTGTCTTGGTCAAAAAAAGAAAGCAATTTCCTTAACCTGTAGTTTATGTCATAATTAATTACTACTAAAAGGTCATTTGACCAAAGGTCATTAGGACTTCAATTATCACTCCACAAGTAATGATACACTACTTTATCCTACCTTCTAACTAAGTGAAAAGAATAAGACACATGTACATAGTTCATCTGTGTCTAGTTAGAGCCAGAACTTTCTTTAAGTGTCCTCTAGAAATGTTTAACTGGGCCTTTGAGGAATAAAACCAATAAAAATTAAATTTCATTTTTTCTGTTCTTTCAAATATTTTCAAATTCCTAAGCATAGTAATTTGGTATTTAAAATTGCCAATAGCTTTCTCTTAGGATCTTAAGTACTTTCAAGTGGTATGTGGAGTTTGGGGATGAGAAAAATAAACAAAACAGAATCTAATTGAATATGAAACCAAACGTACAATATTGGGAGGCTGATGGATTCCCTTCCTTTTAGTGGGCTTGAACAAAATATTCAACTGCTTACTTGCTGAACGCCTTCTCCACCTACATCCCGTAACTGATGAATGCCTGGCACACTGCCAATCTTATCTACTTCATCCAGAAAGACAATTCCTATAATTTAAGGAGGAGTCTATTTATAATATGAAAAAGATATACACAAGATAACCCCAGCTTTAAAAGACTAGGCAGCCAGAGAGCAAGGTTAATTAAATCTTTCACACTTAACATATTCAATGGCTTAATGTTATAAAAATACACCGTTGTCTCTCCTATTCAACATTTCGTGCAAATGTTTTATAATTTTATAGAATATTACTTGGGTATGATAACCAATTTTCTCTGACAATAGTTATCTACCCCACTAATGTTTTCAGGTTCTTTATTGTAGGAGCTGAGATAGAGGTACAGTGTAGAAGCAGGAGGGACGTGTAGTGCTGGTACTAGTAAAACTTTGGCTTACTCTTTCCCAACTATATTATTGTCTTAAAGGAATTTGAACAGGAAGCTGTGAAGCTCTTCATGCAAACAAGGACAAATGATAGGTGGGGAAAGAAATGCAGCATCTATGATACCCTATAGGTGAACAGGCTGATCTGTTTCTAGATTCATCCTACACTCTCCTGCCCTTGCCCCCTTCTCCTCCCCACCCCAACAACAGGAGTCTGGAGAAGAGTCAGAACAGCAAACACAATGATAGTATTAAGGATAAAATGGAATAGTAATTTAGCCAGTTTTCACCCTAGTAATCATATGACAATAAAGCAAAGCAAACTTTGTGGCCCTTGGGCAGTATACTAGAAAATGTTTAATATAGCCACTTTTATATAATTACAGAATTTTATTCCTTGATTCAAAATAAGAATTACATTCACTCTTAATATTAGACTACTTCCTCAATAGACTACATCTGGGGACAGACAAGCAAGCTATGCTGAAAACATACCTTGTTGTGCTTTTTCTACATTATAGTTGGCATCTTGGAGCAGTTTGGCAATCACAGATTCAATATCTTCACCTACATATCCAGCCTGAGTCAAAGTCGTACAGTCACAGATAGCAAAAGGAACATCAAGGCATTTAGCTAAAGTTTGTGCCAGCAGAGTTTTACCTATAAATAGAAACAGTAACTAAAAGTTTACTGAAAATATGTTGACCTACAAATCCTCTACTAAAATGCAAAATAAATTTGAATGGTATAAAATTAAAAAACCACTGTTGCATTTTTTCCCCACTATTATTCAGATCTAATGTCATTTTACTTTTATTATCCCTGGTAAGATGTCAGACTTGGCCTAAAGGGCAATACCAATGCCTCAAATTCAGCTTGAATCCTATGTGGAAATACTGATAATATATGCATAAGATTGACCTTAGATTTTCTTTCTCAAGCACCAAGATCTCCCAATCACAAAACACAGGTTACAAAATCATTTATATCCTATTTTTAAAAATCAGTAGTACATTTTTTCAGGAAGTTATTTACCTGACCCAGTTGGTCCAAGCAGCAAAATATTACTCTTTTCAAGTTTTATGTCATCATGGGAGGAATCCAATACTTCACCTCCTCGTTTTTCCTGAGGCATTTGTTGATTTACCTGTTGCTGCATTGATGCTCCTAAAGCATTACCATGTGGACTAATTCCAGCAATCTGAAGCAATTCTGAAAAAATGTTAAAAGGAATTACTAGAGCTTCATTTGATTTTACTTGAAAAAATGCCCAATAAAACCTTATGTCTAAAACCAATCACTTACTTAGCAAAATTTAAATATTTTGACAATCTGTCTTACCTAAAAAGAAAGAAAATTTCCAATAATCTAGTGACAAATTTACAAGGCACAATGATTATTCAGGGAACCTCAAGCAAAGAAAATGGATTCTTTTTTCACCCCCTCCTTATTTATGTAAACCTGTATGAAAAAGCCCTTTCACTCAAGGGAAGGCAGTATAATGGAAAGAGAGCAGTGGCCAGGAGTCAGGAGCTTTAGTTTTTTATCCTTCATCTCTAAATGGCTATATGATTTGGGCATGTCTATAAACTTAGTGCTGTTTCCTAATCTATAAAATGGCAACAACCCCTGTCCTATCGCTTTCAAACACATGATTGGAAGGTGTATTAATAAAATGCAATTGATTTGGAGGCACTTGAAAGATAAAGGTATATATTTTTTTTTCAAATGAGAAGGTATATATATTTTTACAAATGAGAAGCATGGCTATAGAGAAAAACAATGAACTGAGAAATAGAGAATTTGGTTCTAGCCTCAGTTCTGCTGCTGTGCAGTTATAGGACCACGGCAAGTCACTTAACTTTACTGGCCCTGCTTCCTTATTATAAAGTGAAAATACGAGCCATATGACCTCCACAGTCTCTTCCACATCTAAGAATAATTCTGTGAGTCTACCAGAGAAACCAAATATGGTAAGACTCACTATCCCTGGCCCTATCTGAATCTGATTTTTTAGGATTTCAACTGGATCTTTCTAGTCCCTTCATTAAAGATACAAAGCTTAACTAGATGGGACTGATATTGTTGGTGAACTATCAGTTTATCAGCAGATCCCTAAGACAAAAACAAAACAAAGTAAAATTTTATTCTCACTCCTCCTTGGCTGAAGGAGAGAATCCCAATGGCATTTTCAATTGTCCAGACTTGTAAATATCCATATTGCTCCTGGTTCTCAGCATTTGAGGTATCTGCGCTCATATTATACTTGCTTATATTTTCTGAATTTATTTTTAGGTTGCTTCTAATTAATGAGTTAAGAATATCAGTACTTTCCAATGCTTACTGTTTTAATCAAACCAATAGACAGATGTCCAACAGAAACAAATATTTAAGGTCCTATTCCATCTGGCTTGTCACTTTCAAACTATCTTAGTGGTCACATTTAAGAGAAAGGGTTATTCTATTCATCAAAAACAACAGGGATTTAATAAGCATTTTAATTTAATCGTGCTACAGTTGAGAATTAATGATTAATGACTAATTCATAATGCTATGCCTCATTACAATCCACATAAGGCAAAAAAAATGCAGTCCCCTACTTGAGTATAGTTAGTTAGCTAGTTGTCCCGAGCAAAACTGTTGGGTTTTTTAAAAATTTCAGCAAAGTGTAGTTAGGAATTGTGACAATATAAGAAGAGGCTTGGCTCAAGTGTAGGTCTGCCCAATGAGGAAAAAATGATTTAGGTGAGTAATTTGAATAAAATTGAAAGTATCATATTAACTACAATGGAGTCACGTGATACATGTATTTAACTTATTCAATGATTTAAGTTAATAAAAAAGGAATAATTTAAATAGTACAGAACAGATATGTTAGTCATTACATTTTATGAAAATATGCCACAGTAAACTTGATATAACTCTCCTGCTTTTAGTTAGTCTCTGTTTCTGTGTATCTCTCATTGCATAAGCAACTCTCTATAATGAGCAGGACTATAAGCAGGGAGGCTAGCACAGTGATTAGATGCATAAAAATCATCAGCTGTGTGTGGCCCTGGACAAATTACTTAAAATTTTTGTGCTTCAGTTTTCTCATATGTAAAATGAGAGTGAAAATAAGTTTCTGTCTTAGAGGTGTTGGAAAGATTAAATGAGTTAATATATGTAAAACAGTTAATATATGTAAAACAGAACAGTGCCTGGCAGATAGTTTTATAAGTGTCATAGAAGAATTTGCTATTAGCATTGCTATTTTGCTTGTGTTTAAGTATTTCTATAATATAGTCCTTAAATGCAAGCCAACTACTTCATCTGATGCTCAACTTAAGAAAAACATCTGTTCCAATGATGGAGAAAAAAACCATCAGTCTTTTTTTAGTTGGTTTTCTCTTCTTCTTGTATAAGGAAAGGAACAAGCTCATGGACAAGACCTGGATAATGTCCCAGTCCCAGTTTCCAGTCACTTTGTTCCAAATACAGATTGTAAATTTTTATGGCATGGGGTACTATTACCATCAGTCATCAGTCTTATTATGTAGTATGTTGGTCTCAAAGATGTGATATCCAAAGGAACTTTCAAGAATATTTTGATTATATATGTCTTTGGCCTAATGCCCTAACTTTAGAACTTAAAACCCCCACACAGGACAAGACTAAACTATACTGAAGACAAATTCTATTTAAGCTTTCAAAATATTAATTTCCAAGCTTTCAAAATATAATTTCCAATATATATAATTATAAACTGCTTTTACCTAAGTTTGTAAACATTACTTGTGAACATTTAAATTACATTAAATCATTACATATATCACATATTTTTTTAAATATTCACTGTAGACTTTACTAGTTTCACGAGCCATCTGCCCAAATATATAAATATTGACAGCATATTTGATTATATTTTTGGATTATAAAACATATATTATACATGCATATAAAGTGTATTATTTATATCTTACCTTCTTATATGTAATCTAATTCTATTGCACTTACTGTGTTTCTTAATTTTATCATGCACGGTATAATCATTATTTCCATACAATTTAAAAATAACTAGATAATATAATTTTATTACTTATAATAAATCTCATGCCAGAGTTGGTAAACTGGTTATGTTCTCATGGCGCATCCTACATATATAGTACACTTCAAATAGTAGATATATAATACTGCTTGGTTCAAAGGCAAAGTAAAAGTATCAAACTTGTAAGTGAAAAATGTTCATACTGATTTATTATCTTTTTACTTGTGTTTGTTATTTTAATTACTGAATCAAAGGCCACATAAATCTTTTTATAATACTCCTGGAACCATCACCCTCTGTGCAGCAATTATAACCACCTCCAAAGGAATGGGTGCAAAACATCAGAATGGCCACTATCCTTGATGTATCAGGTCCTTCCATACCCTCTATCAGACCTTCTGATGCTTATAGGGGCAATCCAGGGCTGGAAACAGTGAGTTGGGGCTTATTCATAATTTGCAAGGCTACACTAAGCTTCACATACGCCAAAAAATAAAGTGTGGCTTCTGGCAAAGAGTAGCCATAAGATAATCTGCCTCTTATAATTCTGTCACTTATAATTATGCAGACCAACTCTAACTGTAAGGCAAAAAAAAAAAAGATTTAAAATGGCAAACTACAGATTTTTACAAATACAACTCCTGTTATTATATAGGTCTACATTTATGGAGAAAAACTATATATAATACTTTTTATCTCTCTACATTATGCTTTACAAAATACCACAACACCCCTAGCCGGTTTGGCTCAGTGGTTAGAGCATCAGCCCGCAGACTGAAGGGTCTCAGATTCGATTCCGGCCAAGGGCACGTACCTCAGTTGCAGGCTCCATCCCCGACCCCGGTTGGTTGGGGCCATTCGGGAGGCAACCAGTCGATGCATCTCTCTCACATCGACGTTTCTCTCTCTCTCCTTCCATTCTCTGAAAAGCAATGGAAAAAATATCCTCAAGTGAGGATTAAAAAAAAAACAAACGATAAAATCAAATATCTGAAATAACCCAACGTATACAAACTACACAAATGTTATGAAAAACTGTTCCAAAGTTATATATACCATGTATGGTAAACATGTTTAGATAATATATAACATCTTTCTTGGTAATACACAAGCAAATACATGTCCCCCATTACTACTGCTGACATATTTCACTGAGGTAAATCTCAAAAGGAAGAAGGACTGCAGAGGAGGACCTGAGGAGAGGTCACTTACTTGTAAATCTGTACTCATCCTCCCGTCTTCTTATTTCTAACTCTAAGAAAGAGGATGAAAATGGCAACATGAAAATATTATATATTTGTTTAGGGGAACAAACAAGGAGTATCCCACTTCTTGTCTCTTCCAGATATACTTAAAGAATGTCTTCATTAACTTTTCAAAACATTATAAAGAATCTATATGTTGTATCCTTTCTACATTAAAAAAAAAAAAACAATGGCTGTCCAGTTGCTAATATTCACATTTGTCAAATATAAAGTTGGTTATCTATTTTAAGAAAAAAGTAGTAATAATTTAAGTCTTCAATAAGAGTTTAAACCCCTCATACTATAAAATATTATATAACCATTTGTTTTTCTAGAACTAGAACAGCTTAATTATTGATTTGTTGACTGAAGAAACCAGAAAAAATCCTTTTGCTCCATGACTAGGCAGTGCTTTTTGGACCTTATTAAAACGAAGGCTCCAAATCTTCCATTAGTTATTCTGACTTACACTTTCTAAAAATAGAGTAACTGATACTACCACATAACTATTTTGCAGTAGGTTCAACAAGCGAGCAAGTGTCTTCATTGAGCCAGTTATATATTTAGTAGCTACTGAAAATAATCAAAAGATATTGTAGTTTTATAAATGTAAGTATTTAGCAGTACTCCCTCAAATTGTAAAATGATGAATAAAAGAATGTAAAATGATAGCTGTAGGCCTAAGTAAGAAATCAGGACTCCATGGCCAATAACAAAACTTAAAATATTTACACTTTATTATTTTTTTAATAAAATCATTCTATTAATATAACACACATTGCCCTGGCTGGTGCCCCTCAGCTGTTTGAGCACTGTCGTGTGCACCAAGGAGGTTGCCAGTTCGACTCCTGATCAAGGTACATGCCCTGGTTGCAGGCTCGACCTCCTGTAGGGTTCATGCAGGAGACAGCCAATCAATGTGCTCTCGCATCGATCTTTCTTTCTCTCTCTTTCTCTCATGCTCTCTCTTTCCTTTCCTCTCTCTCTAAAAATCAATAAACTATTCTATAAAATATATATATATAATACATTATTTTCCACAGTAAGTTGAGATTACACAGTTTATATGTATAGTAGAATCTATCATTAGTAGGATTTATACTTTGAATCACTTACAAATTTGCCCCTAACCTTGTGCACTGTAGCTGGGGCCTAAAAAGGAAAGGAAAGAGCGCTGTATATGTTCTGCAAGAATTATCTCCATATACATATGACTTAGGCAGATGAAATTCTGTACCCTGAACCCAAAAAAGAACTCAGAGTCATACAGAGCATTGCAATGATAGGATCATGGGGAACTAGTTGTGGTGAGGTCTATAATTCAAAGATGGTATCTCAACCTCTACCTCAGTGACTTTCAAACATTTTTCACTGAGACCCTTGATAAGAAATACATTTTACTCTGTGACTCAGAACCCATGCACATATACCTAAAAGAAAAAGTTTTAAGAAACAATATTTAACTATAGTTAATGTACTCTGGTATTTTCTATTCAAATCTATTAACTTTTGTTTTTTAATGCTGTTGGCAACCTACCAAAATAATTTCATAATTCACTAATGAGACATGACCTGTACTTTGAAAGCTGCTATACTATACTAAAAGCATTTTAAGACAAAAGCAAGGAGTTGCAATAAAGATTACTTCTAGGCATAGTAATCTCTATTTTGGCCAAATATCAAAACACTAACCTCTAGGTGTTAATGATGTCTGCTTTTCAACCTCTGCTTGCTGCCTCAGATTAGTTGGAATATTATTATATATTCTCTTATAATGATTGTACACAGCAACTGAAAGCACCTTCTTAGCAAATGACTGGCCAACAACATACTTGTCGAGGTAGTTATAAATCTGAAAAATAATTAGGTTTGAATAATTTAATATAAACCATCATAAAAACACACACATTAAAAAAGTTATATACTTAGCATATTTGCTTCCAGTTTTAAATTTGAACAAGGACTCATCAAAAACAAAATGCCAAGGGCATGATATATTACGTAGCAATGATTCAAGGTCCTAAGCCCTAAATGTACAAAAGCACAATTTATGTGTTCTCTAGCCTAACAAAGTATCTCTGTCCTCTTCTAGGGCTACGCTGGTTTCTATTCTATAAACAATGCCATTGATCCTAATTTTTAAAAGTTAATATTAAAGACACTTAGAATACCTACACATGCCACCCGGAGTCTAAAGGTATTATCATTAATGTAAATCATTTAATTAATCCTTTCTACAACTCTCTCAATCATATAAATTATATTCTTCACATGAATAAAGACAATGTATTATAAAACTACCCTTTTCAAAAATAGGCACCACATAATCAAAAGCCATTATACTACCAGTATCTGTGTTTTAATACTCAAAAACATTTAGCTTTTTCTCAGATATCAACTTTAAAGCTACTTATTTATCTACATGGCAATATACAAGTTTTAATCTTAGAAGAAACTAAAGCTCTATTTGATTCTTGGATACTGCCAACAGCTTGGAACCTGGGGTAAATTCCTTCAGCTTTCGGTAAATAGAAATTAACTGTTAATATTAACTAACTCTGGAAAAGTTAAATTGCCTAATTTTCTAGAACTTTGACTCAGATGTCTAAAGTCTACACAAATTAGTAGAGAACATAAAGTTTAATGACTATCTTTTCTATTACATTATTTATTTTTACATGACAAATTCTTTTAATTGTTGAGCATATGCATTTTATTATAGTTTTTTAAAAATCTTCATTCCTCACAAACTACACTCATGAATTACTAAATCTTCCACAGCACATTTGGATGAAGACACAAATGCACTACTATCAAAACAGAGTAGAAGAAAGCTACACCGAGGCAGAGGATGAGAAATGACCAAAGAGGACAAACATCTGCGATATGCCAGAACACAGGCACACAGCCCAGGAGCAGGGCTCCATTCTCAGAAAGTGCACACCAAGCACCCACCCAATGGAGCTGGTGGCACACTCTGTTGTATTTCATACAGCCAAATCACAATCTGTCTGAGACTCCTGGAAAGAGCCCAGTAGCAAAAGCCACAGTACTGCAGAGGAGAGTGCCAGCATACTGGCCATGAAAAAAATCACTCATTGTTAGCCTGAGGCTGTTTTACCATGAAGTAGACTAATTTAATGGGGGGGGGATTGCAAGCTGGTATTATTTAGGTGCTCAAACTAACAAAAATAAATCCAAAGTTGCTCTATTTGAAGGTTATCATTTTAAGTTAATTTAGTATTAACACTATTTTATATTTATATTTAGTATAATACTATTTTAATAATCATCCAACTACATTTCATTGCTACTGAATACAGTAATCATGACATGGGAAAAAAGCAATGGACTCCATACCTAAATTCCAAGTATCAAATATCAAAAACAATTTAGCCAAATATAGTCCATATTAATAACTTACAATATGTGTGTTTAAATACTAGTATTAAGATCCAATATAAACTGAGGAGAGGGGAGCAATGAAATGTTTTCAAGATCAAATGCTTGTAAGACTTTATACCTTCTTGGGAGGAGGAGGAGGTTTCTGTTGGAATGCCAATTTTACAGCTTCTGCCGCCGATTCTGGTTCTTTAATTACGCTTTTCTTTGAGTCTGCTTCAGATAGCACAACAAAAAAATGGTGACATTTTTCACACTTCACAAAACGGGTGGATGCTGTAAAAGGAAAGTGAGCAGAGAAAAATAAATAATTCAACTAGTGTTTCACCTAAAAGATTCACTGCAAATGAAAACTATGTACTTGACAAAAAGTAGGCTTGTAGTTCACTCCACTAGCCACAACAAACAGCCTAGTTTACATCTAAGATAGATAATAAAGATAGATGAGTTCAGTCTGCTACATATACTTCATTTCCACTAGGTTCTTTCATTTTATGATATAACCCATTAAGAGAAAAGACAGAGTCTTTCAACTTCCCAAACACTAAAGTTAATTTTTAAAACCGCCATGGTAAGAATAGTAATTGTTTATTCCATTGAAATATGTGAACAAACTGTGAAAAAAGTAAAATACAAGTAAATTAATTTTCCCCCAACATTTTATTAAAAATTTTAAACATAAACAGAAGTTGAAAGAAAGAAATCGATTCTAATCCCTAAAAATATAAAAAAGTACATTCCTTAGGTTCTTTTCAAACCTATCAGCATTTTTTAAAATATATTTTTATTGATTTCAGAGAGAAGAAGGGAGAGAGAGAGATAGAAACATCAATGATGAGAGAGCCGCCATTGATCAACGGCCTCCTGCACGCCCCCTGACTGGGGATCAAGCCTGCAACCTGGGCATGTGCCCTAACTGGGAATCAAACCGTGATCTCCTGGATCCTAGGTCAATGCTCAACCGCTGAGCCACGCCCAGCCAGGCAACCTATGAGCATTTTATAAAACCTTAACTTGGTAAAAAGGTAAAGGTATTTCATACCTACGTTATTTTTATCTTTAATACTTCCACTAATTCCTATTTCTTTGACCTAAAAACCACTGAGTCATACTTACTTAAAGATAATTATACAGCTTTTGAAAACAACACAAAGGCAGTTAAAAGTGAGGGTAAAAATGCTTTCTTAATGGCAACACATCAACTATAGAATATCCTGTGTTAAACCAAAAGTGATTTCTTCCTTTCTCTCCTTCTAAAACACAGCTTTAGGATGTAGACATATGGCCATATACTCTTAATCTTCTCCAAGCCCACCCCTACTAATGGTAACCAGGGAACTCAGAAAGCAGCATGATAGTAGAGAAACCCAGACAGACTATTAACAGATACAAAGCAAATGATACACAGAAATTAGTTACATGTTGGTAGGTCTAGATAGTATATTTTTGGTGTAATATAAGTAGACAGGTAAAATTGCAAAGAAAAAGAATTTTTAAAACTATGATAATCTCTCTCCTTTGGGAATATTATAACACAGATTAGAAGAAAAACTACACTGGCAAACACACCTAAATCTTCATAAAATAATCTAAATTTAAAAAAATAGACAATTCCACAATCAAAACATAAATGTAATTTTTAATCCAATCAACTTAGTTCTTGTATGTTCATTCTTGAACACAAGGACAATTAAAAATTTATTCAGGATAAATTCTAGCAGCAAATTTTAAACCAGGAGAGGAAATGCTTACCTAAAGAAAATATCAAGCTATTCCAAGTACCTTCAATTAACCCAAGCCCAAATACATTATCACCATGTCCCATCAATGGGAAAGAATCAATGCCTTTATTCTATGAGGCACCAGCTTGCAACTGTTAGTGATGGTAAACAGGGTAAGGATTAAAGGGCAGAGAAACCTCTGATTTAATTCAGGCTGTGTGACAAGAAAATCTGGCTTGAGAACACACGAACAAAATACTTCTCTAAAGAAATTAGGTCAAAGGGAAAGATTAAACACTAACAAATAACATTCTTCTTGGCTTACTGTTAAAGGGTTCCTTAAATTCTACTTGAATATTTGCAATATAATTTTACATATTCAACATATACCCAACTTCAAAGACTCAATTTTATTTATCAAAATGCCATTTAAAAAAAACAAGCACTGCAATGCATATTTTTACTCTTAAAAACTAAGGGCAAAAAATCTAATTTTGTTAAATTATCTGGGGATAAATAAACCTCTTTTCTTTAAATGATAACTACAAATATCCTACATTCCTTTATATACAGAATACTGATCCCAGTAAACATGCTTGTATAGTATGCCAACAACAGAGAGACTACCTTGTAAAAACATTTTTAGGAGATTTGTTTAAATGAAAGATTTTCATGATTTTAGACAAGTTTCAGGGTCCAACACAAAATTTCCAAAACTACAGAAAAATTTAATTCCCACCCTATGAGACACATAAGTGCAGTAGCCTTCAAAAAGTATTATATGCATAAACATAAAAACTAAAGGCTCTAACTTAAATAAAAGTGAGAAGACTATTCATACATGAATAGTCTAGTATTTAAAATATATAAAGCACTATTATAACTCAACAATAAAAAGGTAATCCAATTTAAAAATGAACATAGGATTTACATACTTTTCTCCAAAGAAAACAAACAAATGAACAATAAACACATGAAAAGATGCTTAACATCTTTATTCATTAGGGAAATGTAAATCAAATTTCTATGATGCCTACAATAAAAAAGATACATAGTAAGTGTTGAAGAGGATGTGGAATGATTGGAACCCTTATACATTGCCAGTTGGGTTGTAGGATGGTACAGTCTCTGTGAAAAACAGTTTCGCAGTTCCTTAAAAAGCTAAACATAGAGTTACCATTTCACCCAGCAATTCCATTCCTAAGCATATACTCAAGAAAAGTCAAAACACACAAAAAAATGTGTACACAAATATTCATAGTAGCATTATTTGGGGGGGGAGGGGAGGTTAATCCTCACTCGAGGGTATTTTTTCCATTGATATTTTAGAGAGAGTGAAAGGGAACGAGGGTGGGGGGAGAGGGAGGGAGGAAGAGAGAGAGAGGGAGAGGGAGGAGGGAGAGCAAAAGGGAGAGAAACATTAATGTGAGAGAAACACATCAATCGTTTGCCTCCTGCATGCACCTCAACTGGGGCAGGGATTGAACCTGCCACCCAGCTATGTGCCCTTAACCAGAAATTGAACCCATGACCCTTCAGGGCAAGGGCCAATGCTCTAACCACTATGCTCCACCGGCCAGGGCACAGAAGCATTATTCATAATAGCCAGCAGTTACAAACATCATTGATGGACATCAATGAATGGACAATAAAATACTACCATTCAGCCATAAAAAGCAATAAAGTACTGACATAATGCAACACAAATGAATCTTGAAAACATGCTAAATAAAAGAATCCAGACACAGCCCTGGCCAGGGGGTTTAGTCAGTTGGAGCATCATGCTGGACACTAAAAGGTTGTGATTTCCATCCCTGGTCAGGTCATATAGGAGGCAAATGATCGTTGTTTCTCTCACATCGACGTTTCTCTCTCTCCCTCTCTTTCTAGGATCAATAAAAAACATATTCTTGGGTAAGGATAAAAATAAAAAAATAAAAAGACTAAAACCTCAGAAAAAATTTAAAAAGGACTAGACATATGTAGTAACATATACTTTTCAAAATATTGCTGAATTGAAAGAAAAAAAAATTTGCAAAAACATGAACAATATGTTAGCATTTATGCTTTTAAAAAGTTTTATGTTTGATGAAGATATTTACAGAAATATATCTTTAGCTTTATCTATAATGTTCTACTTTTTCAAAAAGGGGGATATATACATCTATTCCTTGGGTAATTAAAAATGACAAAGTGGACAATTACCTAAACAGGCCATTCACAAAAGAACTGTAACTGACAAAAAGCACATAAAAAGATGTTTATGGCCCTTGCCAGTGTGGCTCAGTTGGTTGAACGCCTTCCCATGCACCAATGTCATCAGTTCGATTCCTGATCCAGGCACATGCCCAGGTTTCAGGCTCAATTCCCAGTAGAGGGCGTGCAGGAGGCAGCCGATGGAAGTGATGTTTCTCTCTCTCATCAATGTTTTCTCTCTCTCCCCCTCTCCCCTCCTCTCTAAAATCAATAAAATAACATTTTAAATTAACATTTTGAAATCTTTCTCTGGAAAAAAAAGGGAAAATCTCTTGATTAAAATATATATGACGCTGCCATTATGAATTGAGCATTTCTCAGATTTTTGAGAACTTTATTATATCACACCAAATTTTGTTAATAGCAAATGTTATTTAGAAGTTATGTCACCCAGTTCTACCACTTTCATTTTATGTTGCAATTCAAATTAATGTTCATTCAAACTAACTTTTCTCTTTGATCTCTTACTAGGTAAAAATTACAAACAGAACCTCTAACACTGCATCTATAGAATGCAACTACTTTAAAAATCCTCCAAAACTGGAAAAACAAGCTACACGTAGTACTTTTTCATATAGTGGACAATTAATATTAGTGATAAATGTGAAACTATAACTGAAGTCTCAATATTTGGGTTAGAAGAACAGCCAGCATGGCTCAGCAGCTGAGCATTGACCTAGGATCCAGGAGATTGCTGTTCAATTCCCTGTCAGGGCACATGCCCAGGTTGTGGGCTCAGTCCCCGGTAGGGGACATGCAGGAGGTAGCCTATCAATGACTCTCATCATTGATGTTTCTATCTCTCTCCTTCTCCCTTCCTCTCTCTGAAATCAATAAAGATTTAAAAACACACACACACACACACACACACACATATATATACGGGTTAGAATACAGAGAATCCTCTCCAGCTAATCATCAGAAACTGAAACTTCTGCCAAACCTTACCATCAACCTTTTCATAATTGAACTGTATAGGAAGGCCGACATGGTAGTATAATGTAATTTACTCAAGTCATTACCATTACCTCTAATCACACAGGAAATTAGTTATTGGATTCATTAAGCAAAGTATCTATAGTAACATCTTTGCATTTCAGAAAGAATTACAGACACTAAGCAAAAGTAGGACTGTTGATTTCTTCCTTCTCTTAGTATCAGAATCATTAATGATTATCAGACATTTTCTAGAACTGAGAGAATAGCTCCTCTGAAAAGTACTCAGAGAAGGAAAATACCTTAATATTTGAATGACTGACCTCTCTAGTTTTGAGATGATCAATAGGTATGTGAAGAATGGAATAATAAGTACAGAATAAATAAGACTTGGTTTTTGTACAGTTTAATGGTTACATGCATGAAAACTCACAAAATCCAGCCCTGCACCCTCTCATTCCCTCTGCCTCTCCCCCCACCCGCATCCCACCTCTGTTCTGCTCTGCCATGCTGTGCTCTAAAGAAACACCTGCAGCCTGGCAGGGCGTGGCTCAGTGGTTAAGCGTCCACCTAGGATTCAGGTGATCAGGGTTTGATTCCCGGTCAGGGCACATGCCCGGGTTTCAGGCTGCAGCCGATCAATGACTCTCTCATCATTGATGTTTCTATCTCTCTCTCTCCCTCTCCTTTCCTCTCTCTGAAATCAATAAAGATATATTTTTAAAAATAAATAAATAAATAAAAATAAAAAAAATAAACACCTGCAAGTGGCTTCACCAGGCTCTTGGAGCATGCCACTGCCACAACCAAGGGGTCTGCATGCAGTGGGCTATTACCTATACAGTGCCTATGGAGAAAACCATTGTGAAAACCAACATTCAGATAGCTCTTCCTTCTGGCTATGGAAGAGTAGCTCCACATTCTGGCCTGGCTGCAAAACACTTCATAGATGTAGGAGCTGGTGTCATAAATGAAGATTATAGGAAATAGTTGTTGTACTGTTTAATTTTAGCAAAGAAGAGTTTAAAGTAAAAAAAGGTGACCGAATTACATAGCTCATTTGTGAATGGATTTTTTAATCCAGAAATAGAGGAAGTTCAAGTTCTAGATGACACTGAAAAGGGTTCAGGAGGCTTTGGTTCCACTGGAAAGGATGAAAATTTATGCCAAGAACAGAAAACGGGGGGGGAAAAAAGTACTTTTTTCTTAAAAATAAAGAGTTTTTGTTTAGTGTTTTGTAAATCTGTGAACTTAATAGCTTTAGCTTTGAAAAATATTTGGTTCTCTTATATCAAGGAAATGGTACCCTCTTGGAAATCACAAAGAACTTTACTTTCTTGTGTTTTCTACATTTGATTGTTGTATAAATCTGCATGGCAACCTAATATAGTTACTTTATTCAATCAAATGTTCATCAATTATAGACCACCCCTCCAGAACTGTATTATTTAATTCACTAAATGCTACCCCTTCAACAACTTATTTTTCAATTGCTTTGTAAATTATAAGCAAAGCCTTTCATTCAAGAATTTTTTTTAATTGGTTTTAGAGAGAGAGGAAGGGAGGGGAAGAGAGATATTGGTTTGCTGTTCCTCTTATTTATGCATTCATTGGTTGATTCTTGTATGTGCCCTGACCAGGGATCAAAGAGGCAACCCTGGCATATCAGGAGGACGCTCTAACCAACTGAGCTACATGGCCAGGGCCTCATTCAATAAATCTGAATTCTTCCTAACCAGTTTGGCTCAGCAGTTAGAGTGCTGGCTCACAGACTGAAGGGTCCTGGGTTCGATTCTGGCCAAGGGCATGTACCTCGGTTGCAGGCTCCATCCCCGGCCCAGGTCAGACCACATGCAGGAGGAAACCAATCAATGTGTCTCTCACATCGATGTTTCTCTCTCTTTCTCTCTCCCTTCCACAGAAGGCACATTCTACTATTGCTCACACATGTAAGTATGTGCCAGCATATATAATAAATAGTTTTTTTCCACAGAAAAAACAGAATACTTACACACAAAGGTCTCTACATGTGTGCACAAGTCACCACATTTAGGGCAGCGCAGCTGGTTTCCACCTTTCCCAGAATTCCCAGAGCCTGACTTTTTACTGCTTCCCTCACTCACTGATTTCTAATGTTTTTGGAGAAGGAAAAAAGAGAATGTCAATTATTATTTTCAGGCAACCATTTTATATGTAAACTTAAATATAAACAATATAGTTTATAATTAATCTTCTAATTTTTATAATTTCTAGAGTGGAATTATTCACATAATTTATATCTCTACTATTGCTGGCACATGTAAGTATGTGCCGACATGTATAATAAATAGCTTTCTTTCAGTGACTCAATAAGAACTAGGAAAAAAATTACTATAAGTATAAAACTACATTTTCAGTGAAATTGAATTGGGTATTATTATCACAGCACGTAGTGATTCTTAACTTTCTTGAATCTAACTTTTTTCATCATTAAAATAAAGATAATATTACCTACTTCAGAGAGTCACTGTCAGGATTAAGTGCGAATATGAAAGCACCGAGCATTTTGTCTGGCATATAATATTAGCTCAAATGTCAGTCAAATTCACATAATAAAAAAACTGATAATAAATAATTTGCTGACCCAATACAATCACCAATCATCTACTTGCTAGCTACACAGTAGCCCAGTATTGTCACAGAGATATCCAAGATTTTCAGGTAGAGGGTGAATTGGGGTTTACACCAGGGGTGGGGAAACTTTTTTCTGCCAAGGGCCATTTGGATATTTGTAACATCATTCACGGGACATACAAAATTATCAACTTAAAAATTAGCTATGAAAAAAGCTCCTAGATTTATTGAATTTCAAGTCCCGCCTGTGGTTGCCTTGGCAGGGCCAGACCAAATGATTATATAGCCCGCAGGCCAGACATTCCCCACCCCTGGTTTACACTATTATGAATTGTAAAAGTTGTATAAAGCAGGAAATGATGGCTATTCCTAATTCAACTCTACAGACTGACTCCATAGGTTAATGAAGCTTCTTTACTACTTTGGGGTGTTAAAATTTTTAATTATGGCTTACTAAGTTCAATGCTTCAAACTGAAACACAAAATAAAATTACATAAAATTCTTCAGATCATTTTATATATATCACGTTTTCCACAGAAAACATATAAACCACTGAGATAGAGTACTTTTATTATATTTAATTGCTTAAAGAAGTGAATTCAAATATGTGTATAGATGCCAGTACAGATAAAATACCTTATTTCCATCTCCAGAGCCATCTTTACTTATCCCATCTTTTGAGGCTAAGTATGCTGGTGTTTCTGAAAAAGTTCTAAAAGGAACTCTTCGTAGAATCTGAGTTTCAAAGGTCCCAAACCTTCCTAAAACGGGTATATGAATGCGACCACAAGAAATACCTGAAAGTATAATAAAATGTATTAGTCTACACATCAAATATTAACATTCTTTCAATAAATACCCTGGAAACAAAAATTCCTTAAGCATAAAGGCGGCTGAAAAAGCTACAGTTTTCACAATAGTACAAACCGGTAAAGAAAATAGTGATACCATCAGAGGCAAAGCCCTCTCAAAAATAGGCCAGACCTGGGCCTTGGACAGATTCCAGGTGAATAAAAATGTTTTTTTCCTTCTCAGGCCTGTTCTTTGGAAGTGAAGAAAGACCACCAAGGTCGTAACAATGAGTGACTTTCAAAGTTTGAGATAAGTAGTTCAATATCTGCCTCACTTGTAGGAGGAAAAGATGATTTATGTCCTATATTCTTATTCTTATATTATTTCTACCAATGAGAATAAGCAATTGACATGAATTCTTGTCTGTCTCTTTGTTTATATTGGGGTAAAATCTGCAACAATGGAAACAAACTTTGAATGTTCTTTGAAAAGTTATGTGCTGTTTATTAAAACATGTTTTAATGAAATATTTCAATCTTACAGAAAAATACGTAATTCAGTAAATATTGTGTAACCACCATTCTGCTTTCAAAGATTTTAACCTTGTGACATAAAGTTAAAATTCTTTAAATGAATATAGGCTATTATTTAGCAAGCTTTTTCTGTAAAGGACCAAGATACTACATATTTTGTGGGCCACAAAGTCTCAGTCCTAACTACTCTGCCTATAACAGGAAAGTAAATGTAAATGTAAACAATATGTAAACCAAGGGGTGTGGCCAGATTTGGTTCAGGGGATCACTGTTTGCTGATCTGTTTTTTTTTATATAAATACAAAATAAACCCCAAAATAAATTATAGGCAATGGTAAAGAGCCATACTGCATACTGTGAGGCAGCACTTCCTAAGCTGGTATTTAAAAGTGTTCTTACACAAGAAACTGTATGGTCCTAGGTTAAACAACATGCCACAGATTTCAGTACAGTAGGGATACTCAGAACCTTGCATAAGCTAACCTATATTAATGAACCGCCAAGAAAGATGTTTCCCAGCAGTTTACCAGAGTGCTGTTAGGAGGTAATAAAGTAAACAACGAAGAGGGTATGTGTGTTAATATTAATACTTAAATTTAAGATACTGTCTTTTTGCCTCCGTCATCTTATTCCCTGTAAAATTCTCAACTCAGGCTTTAAATTTTTATTTCTACACCCGTTAGAATTTTTAAGAGATCATGCACATATGTATGTATTGTATCCAAAGCCAAAAACTGTTTTAAAATCATGTCCTTCAAACCAGTCAAAAACAACTGCTTAGTTATATAACTGGCTTTATTAATTCCAATTTTCCAACAGTATACAATGTTAGAATAACTAGTTTCTTTAGTTTTATCACCCTAGGCCAGTGATTTTCAACCAGTATGCCACAAGAATTTCTAAAATGTGCAATACCTGACTATTTAGCCAGGGGCACCAACCTCTTTTTCCTTAGACTGTCAAATAAAAAAATGACAACAGCCAACACCAATAGCAGTCCAGTACTAATGCCCTGTCTTGAACCATAAATATATAGGTCATATAATAGAGTTACATCTTATTGGTCCTTTCACATTATAAGGTTGTGTCTGACTGTTAATTCTTGGTACCAGAAAGACTTATATACAGGTATAGACACCTGATTTTTTTAAAAGTCACTTTGAGCCCTAGCTGGGTAGTTCAGTTGGTTAGATCATCCCAATTTGCCAAGGTTTGGGGTTTGATCTCCAGTCAGAGTACATACAAGAATCTACCAATGAATACATAAATAAGTGGAACAACACATTAATGTTTCTTTCTCTCTCCCTCTCTCTCCTCTCTCCCTCCTTCCCTCTCTAAAAATCAATAAATGTTTAAAGAAATTTTTAAGTCACTTTGCAGCAAAAAGGTAATTACTGTACTATTTTTTTTGTAAATTAATCAAAATTATACCTATTTTTTGTCAGATCAGCAAAAAATGTTTTTTGGTGTGCTGCAGAATTTTAGTAATTAGTTTATGTATGCCATGAGATAAGAAGGGCTGAAAATCACTGCCCTAGGCCATCACCTGTTCCACAAAGTACAAAACTGAGCCATCGAACTTCTCAGGAAAGGTACAAACAGGAGGAACCAAATTTTCTCATCTCTATATAGATCGCGAAAAAGGTATAAGGTTTATGTCACCCCCAGTCCCTAATCCATAGACTGTAAAAGTTTGCTTAACACTATTACACTTGAAAATTAATTTTAAAAAATACAATTGATTTTTTTAAGTAAAGAATATTTTAAAAATATTTTGATAACTACTATTTTTCCATTTTTTACAGTAAATGACAATCGCATTACCATCTCATTAGAATGAGATTTAAGGTAGTTCATAAATTTTAAGCTGAACATTAATGTTTTTCCAAGGACATAATATGATTTTAAAGACTAGGACAATATAAAAAAAGTCTAGAAAAAGTAATGGGGGAGAGAAATAGATGAATCAAGAATGCAGAAAGTTAATGGACGTTGAGGCTGGGTGATTGGTATTTGGCAGTTCACTGTTCTACTTTGTGTGTGTTTGAAAATGTTCATAATAAATTCATATGAAAGGTAGCAAAATAAAATTATAATCTACATAACAAGTATAACTTTTTTAATTGAGCCATTACAATGGATTCACAAAGAAAACTACAATTATAACACATTATGTGAGGCTATTTGTACTTGGATGTTTAGACAAAACAACACTGAATTATCACATACAGTGCGTATATTATTTCCTATTTACAATATAATTTATATCTTTTTGCCCTGGCCAGTGTGGCTTAGTGATTAGAGCATTGGCTGGAGCACCGAAGGGTCTTGGGTTTGATTCCCGGTCAAGGGCAGGTACCTGAGTTGGGGTTTCGATCCCCAGCCCTAGTTGGGGCGCATGCGGCAACCAATTGATGTGTCTCTCTCACATGGATATTTCTCTTTCTCCCTCTCTCTCTCTCTCTCTCTCCCCCCTCCTCCCTTCCACTCTCTCTAAAAAAAAAAAAAACAATGGAAAAAATATCCTCAGGTGAAGATTAACAAAAAATATATATATATATGTCTTTTAAAATAGTGTTTAACAACTTACGATAGCTAATATTATTAGAAAATAACTGAAAGGAAATTATCTTTGGGACTTTAAGAGAAATAAAAATTATGAGCATAATCCTTTTAAAGTCTACTTGAATAGGAAGAAAAATTAGTCTTTCCCCTTAAATAACTTATCAAGCAACATATGAAACCAATGCAACCATGCAGTCATCACAGAAAATATCTGAAAAACACGTTTGTGTCATTTAAACTTCTAAATTTAAGAATTTCTTTGCTGGCCCTGATGGTATGGTAGTTTTAGCTTTCTATAATCTATGGGCTATACCAACAAAATGCCATAAATACTAAACCTGTGGTTTTCAAACTTGAGCATGCATCAGAATCACCTGGAGAGCTTGTTAAAACATGGTAGGGGATCTTCCCTGGTCCTGATTCAGAAGGTATGAGGTAGAACCCAAGAATGCATTTCTAACAAGTTCCCAGATGATGCTGCTGGTGTGGGGACCACACTTTTTAAACCACTGTGCTAAACAATTTAAATACCCAGTCACTCACCAATCATATAAACCTTCACAGAAATCACTGCAGCAAACTAATCAGGAGTTTTTAACCCTTTTTACGCCACAAACCCTTTTGGCAGTCGGGTGAAGCCTATGGATAGGCCCCTTCTCAGAATGTTTATAAGTGTATAGAATAAAATACATAACAAAGAAAACCGATTATGCTGAAGTAGTTATAAAAATATTTTTAAAATATTATTCTTTACTAATAAATTAAATAAGATCTAGCAGCTCTTATAATAACTACCATGATTTCAAATGTGTGAAAAGTATAAATAATACTTTGAGATATATGCAACTGTAAATGTCATATGGAAATATTTGTAATTTTGATTGGTGACAAATTCACAGATACTGAGACTACTGTAGGTTTGTCACCTACATTCAGAATAAAAGGAAATGCTGTATTTCATTCACATCAAGATTAGTGAAAATAAATTTCACAGAACCTCTGAATTCTATCCCTAGGTCCCTTTGGAGGCCTGTACACCCTGAATGAAAAAACCCTAAAAGCCAAAAAGGGAAGTATTTCTGTAAAGTGTATCTCGAAAAATTAGTTGGCAGCAATGACAAAAGACAGTTAAAAGTTAAACCACTTACAAAACTTCTTTTATACAGATAAAGCTTTCTGAGTTTCAGAGTGGGTATTTTTAAACAGAAATATCAGAATAAGGTAAACTTATTTTCGGGCTATTAAAAACTAGGAGTTATTTATTCAACTTTAAAATATTTGACTGCCTATATTCAATCTTGAATTAAGCATTCTCCAAAAACATGCAAATGATTCAGTTTAAAAGATAAACCAATCTTTAACTTATATTTTAGAAATAGAGTGAAAGAACTAATGGAAATTTTTTAATTATCTATTTGCAGTGACAATATTTAAGTGCATAACAACTGATGTAATGGCCAATCAATGCCTAACTTGGCCTCTAATCTCTAACACAAATTGGGAAAAAAATTCAAATCTCACAACCAACCAGCAACTTAGTATATGCTTATTGCTTTTATTAACCTCAAAATTCCATTTTATGCCCAGGTTATTGTTTCATGAATCCAGAATACTTTTTTTTTTTCCAGTCCTCACCAGACAATATCTTTTCCATTGCTTTTCAGAGAGAGTGGAAAAGAGAGGGAGAGGGGGAGGGAGAGGGAGACACATTGATGTGAGAGACACATCAATTGGTTGCCTTCCGCATTTGTCCTGACCAGGGCCAGGGATTGAGCCTGCAACGGAGGTACATGCCCTTGGCTGGAATCGAACCCAGGACCCTTCAGTCCTCGGACCAGCGCTCTAACCACGGAGCCAAACCAGCTAGGGCAGGAATACTTCTTCATAAAAAAAATAATAATAATAATATCACTCCTATGATAGCTTTCCTCAAGTTTAAAAATGTTTGATGAGTTTTCACTAAGGCTAATCTGCTGGTCTGAAGATGGAATATGCCAAGAAAAGAGAAATGTTGATTAAGAAATAATTTGCAATAAAAAAGCTGTATCATTTATTCACCTTGCCTTATTTAAATCGTACTGTATTTAAATACAGAGAGAGGGAGAGAGAATTAAAATAAATACCTAGGCATATTATGTAACAATCATGAAAATTATGGACAACATGTTTGAGAATCTTCATATCATCACATCCTCATGAGGTGACACCTTTTAAACAGACAAGGGCAGAAAGCAGAAAATCACCTGATCCCACAATTCTCACAGCCAAATTCAGACCAAATACTGTCATTCATTCAGAATCTTTTAAACGGAATCAAGCATTTCTGAATACACATATTTAGAAAACAAACTGACTGTTATATATGCAAAATACATTTTTAAAAATATACATTAAAATGGAAAAACACCAGCGACTTGGATAGAAAAAATATTTAAAATTTCTCATTACAATAGATTTCATATTCAAAGAAACTAACGAGGAAAAACACATTCAATTTGGTACACATAAGCCATCAGGAAAAGAAAATAGATCCAGTATCTAGGATGACAATTTACCAAGTAATTTTTCAACCTACCATATAAAATTTTTAAAGTCTAATATGACAAACCAATGGAAATAGAGAATAGCACTGTACTTCAGAGGAGCTCTGAAATATCCCCTTTTGTTCTTAATTCATTTTACAATTTCTTGTTAGAATATTTAATAAAGTACTTTTGTTTGTTTTTTATTATGTTGTTGAAATTCTTTACCGTTTATAAGAATAAACTAGTTAAAGTTCAATTCTGATTTTTCTTATCTTTTGCCTTTCTTACTCCTTCCAGAATCCTAAATAAAAATAATCCTCCTGGAGTTTTTTAAAGTTTCTTAAAGAAAACATCTCTATATTATTGTAGACTTTTAGACTTTTCTACTATGGAAAATAAAACATTTTATGTAATTAAATCTTGGGAAAGTCTTAAATCGATATGAAAACCATTTTGCTGTTTGTCATGTAAAATTATTAAACTCTATAATGATCTTGAACACACACATACTTTATCCACTCCTAGAAACAATATTCTTTGTTTACTCTACCAGATTTAACCTTGAAGGTGAGGACTTGTTCACTACTCTATCTCCTGCACCAAAACAGAGCCTAGCACATAGTAGGCCCTCAACGAATATATGGCAAATAAATAAATTTAAATATCTGTCAATGTCAAGTGTTTGCAACTCAAATTCCTGGAATAGAGACATCTACTTGTTCAGGTTTAACAAGGTCTTGGGACTCAATCCACTCCTTTACACTTATGTATCATTTTACAAAATGCTTCTGCCCACATTTTCCTTTAATTCCTCTGTGAAATAAACTGTCAGAAAAATGCACATTTAGTAAACAATAAAAATTTTATAATTAACTTAAAGTTTAGGAAAAGGGGGCTTTTATTTATTTATCCAAGGGTCATAAGCTGACAAACCAAGATAAAGCGAATTTGTCTAGAAGTTAGTGATTATGACAGGATCTAGCGTCGTAGTCTGATATTCATAGATTCGGGGAAGAGAAAAAATGGTTTCTTTTCCCGAACCTCCCAGCTGGAGTGCTACTTTCACAGCTCCTGATCAACAGAAAGTAAAGGTAAACAAGCGCTACCCTTAGAGTGTCAAGTTGTAAAAACAACGAAGATACTTCTCAGTGTCTTAAACAATTTCTGTGGGATTTTCCCCCAACTCCCTGCCGCTCTCCTGGGGGCCGGGAAGTTTTCCCCGCGCCGGGAAGTATTCGGAGACCTGCTTACGTCCCGGCGTCAGCCGCCGCACAATGACAGTGACACCGCGGATCTCGCGCGTCCGGCATCCGGGACGTCGGCTCGGCGCCCCGGGGCCCCCGAGGACCCGACAGTGGCAGCCCCTCACCGGCGCCCGTCTCTGAGCTCCCGACAGGCCCGAGGGGAACCCGGTCACGCTCCGGGAAAGGAACCTCAGCAGGGCAGACAGACGTCTTTGGCCGAGATCTGAGTAGGGTCTGGGGACATTTTTAACGAAAGGAGGAGTATTTGTGCCTTTCAGGGTTTCTGCGAAGCGGCCACATTCTGGCCCTAAAGTCCGGAGGCCTGCGAGTGCGCGGGCGGGGAAGCACAGGAGTTTACTTCAAATTTGAGAAACAACTGCTCTAGAGGTTGGCAGAGCCCAATTCCATAGGGAAAGTAGGCGACGCAAGACGAAGCGCCGCGCATCCCTCACACCCTCGTATTGGGGTAGGCCTCTCGCTCTCCTCGGGCTCCCGATAAGTCGGCCGGTCTACTCCCGGCCCAAAGGCTCAGGTAAAGTACTACTTCGTTACCTCTCTGCGCGGAGGCGAGCGAGGAAGTGATGAGCCGCGCGGCGACCGCTCCGCAACTGCAAGCGCCGCAGCCAGACATCTCGGCAGGCCTAGACCGGGGCTTCTCCTCCTACTGTCCTCCGAGTCTCAGTGGCCTGACTCCTCCTCGCAGGGTGCGCTGACCAGGCTCCGGACCCTCCCGCCGACCCCTAGGCCCAGTGCAGAGTTCACCCGCCTGGCAGCCAGGCCAGCGCGTTCTTAGTGGCCCACGGCCGTCTAGCCAATACTGTAGACACCTGACCCCTCCCCCTCCCTCC